TGGACGTAATGACAAATCTTGGGCGTTAGATTGTAACAACAACAGTTATAACTTTTGGTACAACAATGTCAGGACTCCTGTCTCAGGTCCTCGGTCCTCCAGAGTAGGAGTGTACCTGGATCACAGAGCAGGTATTCTGTCCTTCTACAGCATCTCTGAAACCATGACTCTCCTCCACAGAGTCCAGACCACATTCACTCAGCCTCTACATGCTGGACTCAGTTTTTATTATGTTGAAGACTCTGCTGAGTTGTGTAAGCTGAAGTAGACAGAAGTCATTAGGGGACAATGTGTTAACATCTGTGTTTTTTTCCATGTTTCTACAGAAAGCTGATTATACTTTTCTTCACTGCACTTGCATACTACGGTACTTCGACAAAACCAGTAAAGCCAAATTTCCGTATTTCATAGATTTCAATATCATGTGGACGTGTGACTTTCCTCTGACCTGTCACTTTGAGCCCTAGTTTTCTTTGCACCACAGCAGACATGGACCTGCACATAGACATTCTGTTAACCTTTCACCCTTTCACACATCTTTAAAAGGGTAAACAGAAGTTTCCGCCTTCTCTTAGATTATTTCTTCTTTGTTTTGTTTTCAATGTTTTGTTTTGTTGTTCTTCTTTGTCAGGCGTCTTAGAGTATTCAGAGAAGCGCTATGTTATCATTATTATTAATGTTAAAGGTCAAATATTATGTAAAATACACTTCACCATGTTTCTCTAACACTAATATGTGTCCCTGGTCTGTCTACAAACCCCCCAATGATGAGAAAAGTCCATCCTCTCTGTATTGTGCCTGCTCCACTTTTCAGAAAATGTGTGCTCAAACAGGTCGTTTGGAGATTTTCTCTTTATGACATCACAAGGAGCAGTAACACCTCCCCCAGGTGGGTGACACAGCTCATTTACATTTAAAGGTACAGACACAGAAACAGCCTGTTCTGAGCAGGGCTGAAATAGAGGGGTTTGTAGGCATGATCAAATACAGGATCAGAGTGGATTTAGAACAAAAGACAGACAAGTTTGAGACTTATTTAAACATGTTGAAGAGGAGGAGAATATGTGACCTTTAATTCATGAAGGTTGTCAGTGCTAGTGATGACTTTTGTTCTCTTATCTGTGCTGTATCGCTAACCATCGACTATTTGTAATGATGTAAAGTTTTGAATAAATTTGCAAATAAATCTATAATTCATTTGTATAAATTTCTCTGTCAGACCAAATTAGCAGTAACTCCCCCCCATTGATAAAAATGTACAATGAGGTATTTAAAACATGAAATATCATAATCTAAAAACATCATAACACAATACTAATCAGAAAGCACAGAGGCTGAAGGCTGCAGGAAATATTATCAGACAAAAAAAAGTGATCAAGAATATGTTTTTCTGCTCCTGATATGTGGAAGACACTGCATCTGAAAATCAAAGCAACAAACTCTATGAATAATAAATTTAAAACAATGAAGACCTATCTTTTGAAACAGAACAGACTTTCAGCGTGAGTATCGAGTCTAACCTGGGTTTTCTTTATGGACACAGTGTGGAGGCAGGTGCATAAAGTGGGCTCTATAAATCAGAGGAAAACGCGTTCACATTGGCTCCGTTTGCGTCGCTTAGCTGCACACATTACGGAGCAGGATGCGTGTGTTAGTCTGGACCTAACAGGAGCAGGGAGGCGAGTCTCGGTCCTCGTGCTTCAGATGTGATTTTATTCCGATCTGTGTGTCTGTTTCTGTCTGTGAGGATGCAGAGCAGGAGGTGGTACTTCATTCAGCTGCAGATATTTAGAGGTGGAAACATTACTCAGCACAAAAACACTCATTTTGTCTTTTAATTTAATCTCCTCTGAATCAAAGAAATCTTGATATGTTCATATATTTATGCTTAAGTAGTTTTGTTGGTGACATTGAGTGTGTAGTTGTGTCCAGGCTGAGTGAGAGGTCACACATGATCCTGCAGAAACAAACTGACTCTGCTTCAGTGATGGAACATCAGCCTCAGACTGACTTGTCATTAGAGGAGCCTCCTGCTCCGATTTTGAGGAGAACTCCTCCTGTTCTCAGCCTCACTGACGCATTGTGCTCCGGCTTCAGATGCGCCATTCACACGGAGCCACTTAGGCCACAAGGCGCTTCCACATCCTGGTTCCCACGTCTCACACACACACACACACACACACACACACACACACGCACACGCACACACACACCTGCAGCAGGCACTCAGTAGGGTCCCTTCTAACCAGCTCTGTGGCAACACATGGCACAAAAACATGAGCATGGTGTTCTGGGGACTTTTCCTTTCTGTCCACATTAAGCCTGTGCAGGACTCAGTGTGGCCATGAGGCTCACATATGAGGATTACTGACACACAGGCCTGCCATGCGTAATAAAACAAAGTGGAGGCGTTCACACCCAAAGCTGGCGGATAAAAGGATCACAAGGCCAACATATCCCGTCCACACGTGTGCGCAGAGTCTGAGGCCTGGGCGAGAACACGTGTGCGCCCCGCGGACACACCGGGGGACAGATCTGGGTTTGCTGGAGCCTTGAAGGCAGTTTTCAGCCCAAAAAAAAAAAAAAAAAGTGGGATTATGCAACGTTTCACATGATGAACATGAGAGTATTAATGTGTGTGCACGCAGGGTCAGTGCACGAGGACGTAGATGGAGAGCAAAGGGACGTGTGCAGAAACATGCCGCTTCATTTAAATTAGGAATGACCGTTTTTTCAAACAGTCACACTTTCAGGTTTTATCTTTTCTATATTTTTATTTATAAAAGTTAATGATAGTAGTAGTCGCGGAGCAGCACACACAGACAGACACACACACACACACACACACTCATCTTTAAATCATTGAGAGAAACAGCAAAGAGCTCACTTTGCCTCCTCGCTGCTCTGCAGAAGAATAAAACGCTCGCTTGTGTTTTCCAGGATCTAAGACACCGAGCGGCCTGCCAGCACGCGCCAGTTTGCAGGTAACACATCACCGACACTGAGATCTACTGCCTTTAATAATCTTTATGAATGCAGAAATAATTATTACGTCATCCTAAGTAATAACTGTTTACATTCAGACAAAGAAAAAGATCTTAAGTTATTAAATATTGTTTCTTTTAAAAAAACCCTCGAGTTTATATTATCACGAATATAAAAATATAAAAACAGCCACAACTAAACGTGACGTCAGACCGGAAATGATGCTATTATTTTATTAAATTATTATTAATTAATAATCAAAAATTTACAGGAAGTTCAGTTTCATCAAATCCTGAAATTAATAACACACACACACACACACACACACACACACACACACACACACACACACACACACACATACACACACACACACACACACGTTAACCTCAATGTTTATTTTATTCGTTCTTCATTTGAATCATTTTGTAAATGTTCAGACTTTCACCTAATTATAGGCGCTGATTGATATGACGTCACGCTGATCTCGGCCAATAGCAGAGCGTGCTGAGTTGTGTTCAAAGTGAGCAGCTTAACTCCGCGTGAAGCATGTTGGGTAAAAGATAACAAAACAGAAGATAACAAAAACAGAAGATAACAAATAAATTAAAATCACATTCAGTTGAAAATAAAATCTGTAGAATTATTAACATTTTATTAAAAGATTCAGGTGAAAATAAATAATTTAAATGAGTTTATTAGAAGATTAAAGCAGCTCAGAGAGACCTCCTGCTCATGATCTCAGATTTATTTATTTACACGAGGCATCAAACTCTTCATGTTTAATTTTCATTAAAATAATAAAGTGAATTCATGAAAACGTACCGTAGGACATTTAAAATATAAACATAAATAAATAAATAAATATACCCACTCAGGGAACAGTTTTATTAAAAGGTTTAAAATGTTTGTTTTATTTTTATGATTTTACCCGAAATTATTTTTTTATATGAAAATAAACGAAAAAAACAGGATTAGTATAAATTTAAATAAATTATTATTATTATTAAATTCCAATATTCTGCTGTTTACTTTGATGAAGATCCGTGTTTCAGTCTCAGCTTTTGGCTTAGAGACATGTGCTGCCACTTGTGTGTGTGTGTGTGTGTGTGTGTGTGTGTGTGTGTGTGTGTGTGTGTGTGTGTGTGTGTGTGTGTGTGTTTGTGTTTGTGTGTGTGTGTGTGTTTGTGTGTCAGTGTGTGTGTGTGTGTGTGTGTGTCTGTGTGTGTGTGTGTGGGTCTGTGTGGGTCTATGTGTGTGTGTGTGTGTGTGTCTGTTTGTGTGTGTGTGTGTTTGTGTGTCAGTGTGTGTGTGTGTCAGTGTGTGTGTGTGTGTGTGTCTGTTTGTGTGTGTGTGTCAGTGTGTGTGTGTGTCTGTGTGTGAGCGTGTGTCTGTGTGTGTGTGTGTGTGTGTGTCAGTGTGTGTGAGTGTGTGTGTGTGTGTGTGTTCATTTAAAAATGCATTTTGGACGTGGCTGGCAGGCGGGGGGGGGGGGGCGGCGTTTGAAGCCATCACCCTCCTATGAAGCTCGTGTGCGTGTAAGGGTGGAAGCGCTGGCGTGAAGGGGGCGGGGCCGCAGAGGGAAAAGATGGCGCCGTGGCCGGTTTGGACCGGTTCAAGAACTTACGTACATTTTTCTGATTGTTTGACTTTGGGGAGTTTTGGATAGAGAGGCATTACTCAAGGACCAATCAGAGCATTCTGTGCACAGAGAGGTTTCTGATTGGCCAAGTGGTTTGAGGCGGGGCTAAAGGGCCACTTGGTGACATCATTAAACGACGGGTCAGGACATTTAAAGGCTGCTGTAGGTCGAGAGAGGAAACAAGAAGAGCGGGCGCCAGCGGCCTCCGCTCACTTTAACACGATTTTAACCCTTTCAGTGGTCAGCCATCAAATGATGTCATACCCAGGTCTTCATTAATAACGCTTTGTCTGCTTCTAGGTCCGGACTGGGTCCATGTCACGGCGCCTACAGCGGGGGAGGATGGGGGGCCTTCGGGGTTGGTTGTTATCTTTGGTTATCTAGCTGTATGAGTGATGTTCATTCTTCATAAAGCTAGATAACCGAAAGTAACAAGAATCCCATTACACTCCTGAAAAGGCATCAAGACCCCAAAAGCACCTCGCCGCGTCTGGAGGAGTGAGCTGGAGAGGTAGGGTGCATGAGTATGTGTGTGTGTGTGTGAGGTCCATCACTCTTTACAAATGAATTCATATGTTAGTCATGAAATAACGGGGACATTGGCGTCCATATTCCGCACAGCGGCCTGCAGCCAGCGGCGCTGATCCATAGCTGTACGGATGGTGCAACAGGATCACTTTAATCTAATAAGCCCCATGATCCCTGTGTGGGGCGGCATGCAGGGGCTTAGCCATGCTATCACATGTGACAGGCCTGCAGAAGTAGTTTCACATGTGGCTATTGGCTAATCAGTTTGGTAGCCGCTTTACTCAAGGCTCCATTCACTGCATAAAGTCTTTGGTGCATCTTTGGCATTAAGAAAAACTGCGATCAGCGGAGAATGTGGGCCCTTTATATCATACGGTGCTATGGATTATACATTTGTTCTGACTTTGATGGGACTGTTAAGAATGCTCCCTCCGAGTTAATCCTCCCAACTCCCCGCCGGCTCCTAAGCGAACAGACAGGAATTTGTTGGTTAAGTTAGCCGTTGTTGATTTTTTTTTTTCCTCTCCTTTCTCGCTTCTTCATGAAAAGATGTTTGATTTGGGGTCCCGGCCGTTGTTTGATTTGACGTGACAGTTGGCTTGGCTGTGAATGGGCCGTGGCAAAGCCTCCGTTGCAGGAGGTGCTCCCATGTGGAAAGGCCTGATGGGAGCACAAGGCGAGGGGGGGGGGCAATCCTGAGGCAATCAAGCAGAAAGTGACCATGAGCGAGAGACGGGGAACAATCTGAGCAAAGGCTCATGGGGAGGAGTAATTGGTCAATCAGATCTTCAACCTGGAGGCCTGTGATGGCTGATTGAAGGTGTGATTTCTTCTCTGCCCATCGAAGCTGGAGGGTTGCTCCTGCTGGGAGACGCCACAGACGATTGGTCCTGAAGGTCTCGA